AACCAAGAGTCGCATATTTCAGAAGAGCGTGAGCTCAGAGAGCAATGTCTGCATGCAAATGAGAACTTCCACTAAAGCGGGGAGTTTGGGATATGAGATTTTGGGTTGGATTCCACATTGTAAACTGAGGAAATCAACTGAAATGGAAGTCATAGTGATTCTAGCTGTAGTCTTTCCATCTGAGCTCTTTTTATAGGATTTCCCCATTATGCTTTTTTGTTTTGAATTCAGCTAGCCAGCTATACCTGTGCTCGCCATGCTGGTTTCCACAAGCTGGCCAATGGCCCTTTTCTTCCCACTGATCCCAAATGAAGTCCTCTGAACCCTAAAGTACAATCAGGTCTTTCTTCTCAAGAACAGTTGAGTCTTTCTTCTTTCCCCATGCTCATTCAGGAGCTGCTGCCATGTCTCCTCCTCTTCTAAACTACTGCTAGGCAGAGAGATTATGAAATATGTTTCTTATAAATCCGAAACATTTATGTCTTCAAATGCCCAGCCCCAATAATCCCACTAATTTCCTGAGTGCTTGTGAACTGTCCTCTATGGGGGGAGGCTTCTCTCAATCAAAGTGTATTAAGTAGAGGTTCTCATATGGAGACCTTGCTGAGCAGTAGGAAATGATATGGGGCTTTTTCATTTCCCTTTTAAGTGAGCTGGTTGGCTGGACCTTGAACAATATGGGCATGGTCTTACTATGTTTCATGCTTTACTATCTTTATTGCTGCTTTAGTTTTTCTGCCTTTCCTACTTCTGTTGCCTCAAACTATCACCACTTTTTTCCTTTATCATTGGCCCTTTTTTCTCTTTACTCAGTAGTTATGTTCTGGTTCTTCTATTTCTTCCTGTCTCATTTTTGGTAGCGAAAAGTCCCCCCTCCCCACCCCAGGCTTCATTCGCTAACACCACGAAACTTTGAAAATATGTTCCTGCCCCACGACGTTCCTGAGTAGTCCTGGATCTGCGTGAGATAGGATTCGGGAAGGTGTCTCACCAGACACTAAGGCCTCATAGTGTTTCTGTTCTGTGCCATGCTACAAGTCTGCAGGAAAAACAGAAATTTGTCGTCTGAAGTGCCGAGAGCCCTAGCTCTCCTTGGTCAAACCAGCCCAGTGGTTACACTTCCCAAGATCTGGTGTGTGAATCAGAGCACCGCTAACTGTGGGAGAAGCTGGGTCTGGATTTCAGCCTTATTGTTAGCTCCATTTGGGGCGTATCTATCCACAGTTCATCCAGCTTCCTTGTTTTGTTTCTCCGGATGTTGCTGTAACATGGATTTCAGCTGTTGATACCTTGAGAATTTTGCTCCCAGTAATGTTATTGCTGAGCTGTGCGAGTGACCAAACTTCATTACCAAAGCCATCAGCAGCCTAAAGCACCGTTTTCTTGCCTGAGAACCTAATGAGTTTGGAATCACTGGAAAATAAACTGGCTTTTTCCCGGGGAAGTATCTAATGTCATTTTTAAAAACATATAAAATTGGGTTCTTAGTGAAGCTAGCAATGAAATCTTAAACAAGATAAACCTAAGATGATAATTTTTGGTTTCTTTGGTCGTTTTGGCATACCTGAAAGCCCATGACCTTGTAAAAATGCTGCATACCACTGTCCCTGGTCACAAATACCATTGTCTTCTGGAGGTACTGGCATGTGTGTCCAATAAAGAGTGCAGTATATAAAGAAAAATCACCATTTAAAAATGATTCCACTCTTGGAAGAAGCTTGGAAAGAAGATTTGTTTTTTCAGCAAATCATACAGCATGCAACAAAATGTGTACAAACCCCAAGCCTAAAAAGCATCAAGTGTTTGGTGCCTTGGCACACTCCCTCAACTGATTTGAATCCAGCAAAAGGAACTGGGGAATGAATTATTCTTATGTATAGGCTTTTCTACATTTTCTGTCCCTCATTGCTGTCTCTGCTAAAGTGTGTAGGAAGCTGGGAAACTTCACATCTCAGTGAAGTAGGTACCAGAAGATGCTAGATTCCTGATGTCATCTGGAGGCATTCGATGAAGTTACAATCACACTGAATTTGATTCTCTTTTTCTGTTCTGGCCCGATTTTTCCCATTTCCACCTGGACAGATGAGTCTGAAGAATGAAAAAAAAAAAAAAAAGACTTTTTCAAGGCCTACCAAAGTTGCTGCTGGGCTGGCTGCAGTGTCTGTGTATTGTGTGGCACGTGACTTCTACGAACTGCGCAGACCACCACATATGTGCCCTGTGAAGAGCTGGGATTGCAGTGGATGGCAACTACATCTGAAACATCACAAGCAGAGACACCATATATCTGGGAACCCCAGGCAAATGTTGAACTGCCTCTGAATTCATCTGGACAAAATTCCTGTGCAGTTGGAGAGAGCACATCCAGGAAAATCAGACATATGGTAGGCTTCCTGCTCACCAGCAGGGCTGTGCTGGCCAAAGTCCTAGAAAGCACGCTGGTAGAGCACAGAAATATCTTTTACTGATATAGCTTACTCCATTTGAGGAGGTGCCTCAGGCTTGCAAGATCCAAGCCACATCTCTGCTGATGGTGTTGCCAGTGTGATTTGACCCATTTACACCAGGGAAGCTTTCAACTGACAGACAAGACCTAACAACAGTGAGGGAGGCCTGGACAAAGATCTCTGTGGTTTACTAGGAGTGACAGCTGGTTTCACTGCTGTCACTGACAAGATTTAGAGGTGCTGCCAGTTTTTTTTTCTCCAGCAGTGAAGGAGCCCCAGCCGAAGGACTCAGCAGAGCCTTCTGGAAGCCAATGGGTCATAAGGGGACAAGTTGATACAGAGAGTTTAGCAGAGCCTGTCGATGTGTCCGGACTCCACCAGCAGGGAAAGATGAGCTGAAGGAACCCAAAGAACGTGAGACCCTGTTTGAGCATCGCACGATCTTCCGTGGGTTGAGTTCATTTTTCTGTGCAGAGCTTGGACTGTCACCGTTGGGTTTTTGTTTTGGTTTGTTTTTTCCCCCTCTCCCAGGTGACCCTAATCCTCTATCTATAGTTCACAATTGTGGGTACAAGGATGAACTCAAATGCCGGTGTATTTTAGGCTCTGCATGGAAATTTTGTTTCTCAGTAGAGGTCTGAACCTATCTTCTTGAAGAGCAAAGAAATTCCCCAATGCAGAGCAGAACTGTTTCGGTCGTTGCTTCAGTGGGAGATGTATCCAGATGGGAGGGAACCAGGCTGTATTTATAATTCATCTGAGACAGCTGGGAGATGCCTTTGACCTCCCCTTTGTAGGAAGGAGTCCTTCTTCCCTGCACATTCATATAAAAAGACATTTGATCAAAGCATCAGCATTTGTATTTTTTACATGCTTTATAACACCTCCTCATCATAGGGAGGCAGATGCAAGAATCATGGCAGTTTTTGCTTCACAAGATGTTACAGCACAGCAATTCAGGAGTACATATGAGATGTGCAAAATTGCTCTGCTGGTGAAGATCAAGAGCTTGGCCATCGTCAGGGCCAGGAACAGATTTTGCGGAAAATGAGCTTTCTCCTATTTGCAAGGAATTTCTGTTGCCTGTACTTCCAAAAGATCTTGGTGCATAGTACAAGGAGACTGATGATGGAGAAATATTATATAACTAATTAGAAATCCCAGTTGTGTCTTAACTCGCTCATGTCCTTCCTTTGACAGTAAACCTTTGTGAGTGATACTACTATTCACTCTCCAAACTTTTAAGCCATTAAGCCTCACAACGCTGCTGCAGAGCAGGGTCTGTGAGTGTTAATGTTGCTTTGCAACACAAATAATGACTGATACATGGAGAAGTGATCGGTATTGTATCCCCTGGCCAGCTGGTTACAGAGCTAGGTATGGATGACTATTTCCCAGTCTGCTGTTTTTATTATTGAGGACTTCTTTGTTGGGCTGTCAAGTGTAAATCACAGGTGTGACACCAGGCACTTGGCACCCAGAATTCATCACACAGAGCGGCTGCTCAGCTTCCGTGGGAAACTGTAACTCCAAAAGTGCACTCTCAGAAAGCAGTAGCAAAAATAGCAAGGAAAATACCTGAGCAGTAGGGAAGGGACAAATCGTATCCTCCTGAGCAGAGAAACCGTCCTTTGTGGACCTCTAATAGCATTGGCAAGGTGGGCTCTTGCAATGTTTGACTTAAGTAAAATGGAGCTATTCCCTTTGGGGTAGCAAAGAACTGACACTATTGTTTAGGGCTATAAAAGCCTGAATTGCTCTTTTGTGTTAAGAGCAGGCACTTACAAGGCCCATGTTTCAGATCAGAGTGAAAACCCTCAGATATGGCTAACTTTGTAAGTTACTTTTGTTTAGCTAAGAGACTGATACTTTTCTGCAACATCAAGGGCCCTGAAAATAATACTTTCTTAAGTGAGAGCCAGGAGTTCAGAGGGAGATATGCACGGTGCTGGTGTGTAGATGCTGTTGAAAAGTTTGTCGTGATTGCCAAAAAGCATGAGTTTTTTTTCTCAGGGATACTTTTGTTTCTTTCTGTCAAATCAAAATCTGTTGTCTGCCCTGCAGCCAACAGGGTCAAACGCTGAGAAAATGAACTCTCCGGGCTCCCTAAGGACAGAGTGCTATATTTAGCTGCTCATCACAGCCAATTTCTGTCCTGGGTTTGCAAGGATGGGTCTCAGGTTCTGCTGCATGTGAGACACACATGCTCAGTGCACAAAGCAGACCAATATTTCCATCTCTCATTGCCATGGCGTCCACCTGAAACTTTGCAGCCAAGCCCATTTCTAGAAATCAGTATCTGGTGGTTTTTGTTTTATATGTGCTGTGTATTGCAATAATAGTCACACAAGTAGAGGAATAGATTTTGCATTGTAAGCAGAAAGTTGTGCATGCCAGACAGATAAATAGAAAATGAGACAACTCTTCTCCCATAGAATAGGATAGGATGGATGAGGATGCTGTCAGGGTTGTGAGCACCAGGGAAGGGTCCTCAGGGTGGCTGGATGGGATGTCTTTGCTTTCCCATTCCAAAGGCTCTTTTTGCTCTCCTAGGGACCAGAAGGGAAACCCGGAAAACAGGGGGAAAAGGGCAAGCCTGGCCAGAAGGTAGGAACGTCTCCCATTGCTAATGTTTCCTTCTCTGGATCTTCCTTTCTGTGCTCATCTTTGACGTTTATCCGTAGAAGCAGTTTCACTCTGTAGTGATATTTGTGCTTTTGTTCTGCAGGGCAGCAAGGGCTTTCAGGGGCAACTCGGCGAAACAGGATCTCCAGGGAAGGAGGGGCCGAAGGGGAACCAAGGCCCTAAAGGATCCCGAGGTACCCTGGGACCTATGGTGAGAAGAGCTCTGCAAATGGTTGAACACAACACGCAGAAACACAACTAGCAGTAGTGGGCACAGGCCCAAATCGAAGGAGAGAGCTGAACAGAGGTTTCAGAGCACAGGGAGCGAAACAATGCTAGGTGGGTTTAGTTTACCAGAATAGCTTATCACGTGCTCTGAGCTGCACAAGAGAGACTCCAAAGTGTTGGCTGTGTTGGTGCCCTGTGAACCCAGCTCACATTACACCGTGGCAGTTCTTCACAACTCCCCAAACGGGTTGAAATACTGGGCATAGTTCTTCAGAAGGGAGTGAGCTGATAAGCTATTTTTTGCTCAGAGCTCTCCCTTTGAGACTGCACACTCATGGTGAGAGCTGCTTCCAAGTCAAACAGTGCTGTTATAAGGAACTCTGCCTTGGACTCGTGCCCTCTCTCTACACCCACTCTTGATCTACTTATCTAAAAACACTTGCAGCAAGAAGAAGTACATCATGGGAAAGGGTTTGATTTGGGGGCTGAAGGTGAGGCTTTCAGAGAGAACAACAATGGTATGGCAGAGAGCAAAGAAAGTTGATTTACTTGCATCTCAAGCAAGATTATTTGAAGAAATTTTATTTGCTTGAGATGAACAAGTCAAGACAGTAGCAGTAGTAACAAATACCTTCTCACACATTACAGACTGGTATGGAAACTTCTTGCACTTATTTTGGTAGAACTTAGTGAAAGAGCAGGAGGGAATACAGTTGTTTATGAACCAGGGATCAGTGTTGTTTCAGAACAGTAGCAGATGAGTGATGGAGTAATAGTTCTGCTGATAGTGTTTTCCTGCATTAAAATGATGGCCTCCCCGTATATCCTCCCTTCATATTCTTTGGCAAAGTCTCCATAGATTATTTCACAAGGAAGCAAAGCGGTATCTGAGTAGCAGTTTGTTGGACTGAACATGTTTCTGCAGTCTGTCTCGAGACGGCTTTATTCCATACTAAATGAGATTATCTGGAAAGTTTGCATTTTACTTTAATCTGAGGATCCGATTTAAGCCCTTTCGTTCAGACTGCTGAAGACGCAATAAGCAGTTCTTACAGTGCCCTCATCACAAGCGAGAAAACTCCATTCTTGGCCTCAGAACCCACAGCAAAAGGTTTCCTCCCTGTGGGTTAGGGTCTGATCATGCATGCAAGTGGTCTCACTGGTGGACCTCCTAGCAGAACAGCAATTTGGATGTAAAGACATCCAGAGGAGCAGATAAAGACTGCACAGTAGGAAGCCATTTCTGTTGCTAGCGCACAGCTCTAGCGAGCGATGAGCAGTTGGCAAGTCAGGATCCACAGGCTGTTGCTTGGAGACCTTGCTCTGCATTCCCAGCTGCCTTGGAGATAAGCTGTAGAGTTCCGTTGCCAGGACAGGCTGACACGTATCAATGCCTAATGCGGGTACACAGAGGGAAGAGCAGTAGCTCTAGAAGCTGCAGGAGCCCAAAGTACCAGCTGGTTTGCACATGGGAGAAAGCTTGGCACTCACATGTGGGTAGCAAATCTGAATGGGCTGAGGAACCTGTTGCTACATGCTGGTGAAGAGGGAGTCCTAGTCTAGTCCTGTAAAATATTAAAGCCTAGCAAGATTATTTGAGATTGCCACAGCAAAAGTCCCTCATGGGCCAGTGGATGGCCATGGGAGTGGATGGCAGAAACGCTCCCGTGCAACATCGCACGTTGCTTTCAGCAGCCTAGCACACCCCATGCTTGCTGGGGTAACATCTGCAGCCTGCTTTAATGATGCTTTCTGTGCTTTAATGATGCTTTCTGTGCTTTCTGTAGGGTGCTCCGGGAAGGATGGGTGTTCAAGGGGAACCTGGCTTAAAGGGTTACCAGGTAAGGTTTTTATTTTCATCCTCCAGCTTCTAGCTATTCTCAAATATAGCCACACTGTCACTCCGGGCTGCAAAGTCTCCCTTAAAATAAGTTCTGTTTTCTGATCTGAGTTCAGTTTAGCTCTGTCTCCAGTCTCTGTTTGCACCATGAAGATTTCTCCAAACCAATTTGTTCCTCTCTGCTGTGCAGTATATGTCCCCTGATACTGGGATGCACAGTGCAAGGCTCACAAGAGCTAGCAGTAAACCAGGGAGGACCTTTAGACAAACGGCTCTTTCCTTTTTCCTCACATGCTGTCTGCTCTCCCCAGGGGCATGCAGGACCACCAGGGCCAGCTGGACCACCAGGGCCAAAGGGGGAAAAGGTAAGATTGCAGAGTTTAGCCTTCTCCTCTGCTGCGTGCGCAAGCGAGCACTGCTGTACTCTGACCTCAGCGCCAAAGCTCAGCCCCAGGAGACTCACATGAATGGCACTTGCACAGAGCAGTCGCACAGGCCATGTGGACAGGAACAGTGGCATCCTGGAACAAAAGCACGAGTCTATGTCACTGTCACTGAAAGAGAATCTCAAAATAACCACCTTCGCTAGGAGGAGCACAAGGTTTACTGTGCCTTCACTCTCTAAGCTCTCACATAGTCAAGTAGTCAAGTTACCGTACGAGTTGCACTGCTGTAGCTGTGCCGTGCACATCACTTCTGAGACAGCGCAGCATAGCCAGCTTGCTTAAACGGAGGTTTAGGGTATTGTATTACTTCATGTTGGTCACAGACTGAGCGCGTGGGAGTTTCTGTAGCTGAGCTGATGGACAGTCACTGTTACACTGCTGTAACGTAAGCATGTGTCTGAGTTCTCGTTCTCTCTCTGTTGGGACAGTGAGCTGTGAAATGCTTTCCCAGTCTGGTGTGCCATACAGGCAGGGCAGGGGTCCCGCCTACATGTTACCCACTGCGGCTCTAGATCTGCAAATGGGCGCCGGGCCACCCGTGCCACTAGTGCGCGCTGCCGGAGGCCGTGTGTCCTTGTGCTTGCAAAAGAGCCAACAGGCAGGCGTGCTGGGGACATGTTTTTCTGCTTCCACAGAAATTCTGCTCAGTCCCCAAGATGAAAGAAAGCAGATCAGTAGCTTTTCGTTATCAAGTCAGAATAACAGCCTGCACAAACTGGCTGATCTTTGGCAAGCAGATCTGTGGGTAAATCGGCTGATTGCGTTTTGTAAGCAAGGCAGAATTGATCTCTTCTCTGCGGCCCTTGCCCCATGTCTCTCGTTCCCTCCTACATCCTCACTTGTCCACCCGCATCCCTCGACAAGCCCCCTTTCTGCAGCTGGGCTGAGTCAGAGCTGTTACTCCATGGCGGCATTCCCCTTGCGTTTTTCCCCTTTTGCTGAATCAGCATGGTTGTAACCAGTTCAGGCTGGAGAAATGACTCATGTTTTAATGGTTTCCTGTCGGCATAGCTCGCCACTCTTCACTCCGAGGACGATCCTCGCTGGCTTTGGCTGTACTCATGGGGCTGCTGGAGCCAGTTACATGTCTTCAGTAGCAGCAGCAGCAACGTTCCCTCCCCTGGTGTGGGAAGGGATATGATAGCAATGGGAAAGGGTGGGTGTGGAGTCCCCGTCAAGTGAAAAGATGTACTGATTCACTCACTCCTGATTTTCTGCCGCGCTATGCTTCGTGTTGCTGTCGCCACGACTGAGCAAGCTCTTGGCGTTCCCTCCGCACATGGGTGGGATTGCAGCAGTACATATGAAGCAGGAGTTTCATTGCTTATAAATGGAGATCTTGAGACTTGGAGAAGAGATCTCAAGGGCACATCTTTGCTTTGGCTTTGAATGCATCTTTTCAGCTTAGGATCCTGAATGTCAGGACACCTGATTTACGCTTGCTCTGCCTGGAGACCCTTTGTGCAGGAGGGAATCTCGGTGCTATAGCAGTTAGTGGGGCAGAGCGAACTGTTGCATTCAGCTAAGATATTCACACGCCTCAGAAATTTTGCTTCAGGGATGAACAATGTTAGTGTTGCTTTTTCTCTCCTGTTTCCCGATGCTGAAATGCATCCATGGCGCAGGAACAGCTGGTAGTGGTTCTGCTGCTCCTCATCTCCATCACTGCTTTGCTGAATTTCCTCTCCATTTCCAGCCTTTCTAGTGCTGCCCCATCTGCTTTCTTAGCTGCACCTCTAGCTTTTCCAAATTCCAGCAGCACTCTTCAAGTGTATTCTGCTGAGTGGCCTTTGGAGAAGTGGCAAGTGTTAACCAAGCACCACCAGCTTGCTTGGTTTTTAACCAGGTTAATAACGTGAGAGCTCACAGCTCACAGCTCACAGCTGTCTGTTGACAGCCTGGCCAGAGGTTTCTCACAATCTCACTATGGAAATTTGAGCATCCAGGCAAAATTTCTGAGTAGTGACTACCAAAAGCAAAATCAGCTGTTGCCTTTAGAGCAGGAGGAATAAGAGAGGTGCAGGTATTCATCTCTATTGTTTAAACTGCAACTGCTGCTTTTTTAAATCCCTCTTCATTCAAAGTTGTCATCTTGAAAGCTCCCATTGTTTTAGGATCAAATGGTCTCCAAATCATTAATCGGAAGCGCTCAGTGAAGCAGTCTTCACTTCACCAGAGCTGATTTGACAGAGCTGCCTGTGCCACTCCGTTCACCTGGTTGCAAGAAAAATTGTCAGCCTGTAGCTCCTGCATTTGTTGAAGCGCAGCACGCTAGTGAAGTCTCAGCTGTGAGGGGAGTCAGACTTAAGGAGACACAAATCCTGCTCTCCCAGGCAAAGATCTTACTGTCTGGATTGGAAATGGCTTTTGGGATTAGGCCTTGCTAGAGACTCTTCCATTCCTGCAACGATAGAAGACTCATTAGGGACATATTCTGCCAGTGAGCAACTGCCAAGGGTCTAGACTGACAGTGATCGAGACCCACAGAAAAAAGCAATCACAGGGTGCCTGCAAGAATAAAAGGCAGTGGCTGTACATGTCTAGAAGAATATTCTTCTCCAAATGAACACTAGAGGAGCACTCTGTCAGAGGTAACATGGATCTTTTGTTGTCAGAGTGCAGATAGCCCGACTCGGGATGATAAAATGAACTCTACGAGTAATTATCTAAGCTGAAGCCTGGCAAAGACAATAAAGTATCTAATGCCTTCTGCTAAGAATGCTCAGGTCTGTTAATGACCGCCAGATCTTGCTCATGTCTTCACCAAAAGACGGCAGGTCTGTTGACACAGTTCTGGGGAACTGGCTCTGGCTGAACGAGGGAGTCCAATGTTGCGTGCTGAGTCACTAGGACTGCTTCCCACATCCAGGTGCTCCATAAGGTCTTACACTGAAGTTCTCTCATCCGTCCTTCCTTCTTATCTCCTAAGATTTGCCTGGCTCCCAGCCTAAAGGTAGGAAGCATCCTTCCCTCTGGACCTCTGTAACCTCAAACACCCGTGCAAGCATTAGAATGAAAGACTGAATCTGAAAGCTGAAGAGGAAATGTTGATGGGACTATGACAGCTCTGCGAGTTGTTAAATGCCATCATGAATTTAGCTTAGCAGAAGGAGGAGGGTATTTTAATGGTGGGGAAGGTCTTCCCTTTTCTAGAGAAGTAAGCGCACTGGGGAGAGGCGTTATTTTGGAATCTAGCTCCGTTGTGCCAACCCAGCCAGCTCTTCTACTGCATTTAATACATTTACAGCTCCTCAAAGAGGCCTTGCTCAGAGCAGACGCCTGCATTTGGCAGCTGCTTAAAGCAGTCCAGATGGGATCCTTTTAAAAATTGCAAACTGGTGTATCTCACTTTGGGACAGGTGCCAACAACAACAATCCTTCCCTTCTTCTCCATGCATTTTCCATTTGTATCCCAACATGTTTACTTTGCTGCCCTTTACTCTAACTTTTTTTTTTCATTACAACTTTCCAAAAAATTAGCGCAGACCTTTCATCTCCCTCTTGAGCAGCTGAGGCATCAGGAAGTCCTGGAGGAGCTCAGCCTCGTAGTCCTAGAGCTGACCAGCTCTGCAGGATTTTCTCTGTCAGAAGACAAAGAATGAGGTGGGAAGGGGAATTGTGCTCAAGGAGACACAAAGCTTCACTGGTCCACTTTTGGCAAGAAGTCTGCGAGTCTTGATGCCCTTCAAAGCTCTCTAGAAGCATGAGCTTTCTTTGCATTCATCATGCCCCCCTCAGTGGAAAGGTGTTCACTTCCTGTTTGAGCAGAAGCAATCAGTGTCAAGACTTCTGCATATTAATATATATGCTAGGATTTTTTTTTTTTCTGAGACCTGAGAAATGTGGTGGCTTTGTTTTTCTTCTATCCTGCATTCTTTTGATGGTGGCTAGAAAGCAAACCGGTTGCCGGGTATTCTGCCAACTTCAACTGGCAAGTTCATCAACATTGGAGATTTGTTGGCAGAGACTGTTAGATGTTATTTTTCTTTATCTCTATTCTGCCTCCCAAATCTCCCATTCACATTGCTCAATATTATGTTCTCAAGCAGTCCTGGCACACTTTCTCGCTATGTTTCTTTTATCAAGGTACCTCCCCAAAAACCCACACAAGTATCCTGGGGTTCACTGCCTAGCACATTATCTCTCAAGGAAGGTATAACCGTCTCCTGCAAGTATATTTGAAATCATGGCAACATGCATCCAACAGATGTTGCAGCAGACATGAAAGAAAATGCTGTTGTCATCAGGTGTGTAATAGAGGCATATACATCAAGCTCTTTGCAACCTGTTGAGGGTTACTGCAAGAGGTTTTGCTAAATCTCAAGGAGTCTTGTTATACCAAGCTGTGAATGTCGATACTGGTGTCCAGCCCCAGTAGGAAGTCTGCATGGGTCAACACGTCCCCCTCAACAGTAGCGCAGCCCCAATTCCAAGCCATGGGCCCAATTCCTACAGAAAACAAGCCATCAGCTCCACTGTCAAAGAGGTTTTTCACTGCTGGTCACTTGCTGCTGCAGATGTGTCAGTACCAAACGTCGTATCTGAAGCACCCTAAGCACCTTCTCCTAGGGGCTGGATCACTGAGGAATTGCCCAAGCATCCTTACCATCAGCAGTTCCAAGTCAAACAGAAGATGAGAGTGATGGAGAGAAAGTCAAAGACTTTCATCATAAGTACCTCAGAAAAGGCTGATAAAACCACTGAGAATTGCAGAAATCTGCAAACACCTTGGCTCTGCATAACTAACGTTGTAGATTTGGATGTTCAAGGCTCTAGGAGCACCCCAAGTAGTCCAAACGCTGACTCCACAGAGCCAGAATCCCCCAGGCTGCTTCTCTCCAGTAGCTGCAACATCAAAGAGGCTGTGAAACACGTCCTTCCTAAGGAGCCGCAGTGCCGGCGACTCAGTGATATGAAGCAGCCAAAAACCAGAGGAACTGGAATGTAGCTGTCTTCTATGGGGAGCTAAGAAACAGCCGTCTCTGAGCTAGACTCCAGAGAAAATAGGACACCATGACCCCAAGTGACTTACACAACTGAATTAAAAAAAGAGTGTCTGTGCTGAGAGTCTTGAAGGATCTTTCTGTGGATGTTTTAGAGAGACCTCAGTTATAAGTAATTCGGGTGATGTTACCTGCCAGCCAAACCATGAGCTCTGAGCTCTTGCTGGGAAGCATCCCGTCAATGAGTGGAGTTGCTCGCACAGTGAGTGCGTAAGGGACTGACAAACTTACCTGACCCATCATTAGAAAAGCCCATGGTGGTAGCTGATAACCAGGGAGAGCATCCAGACCACCCTTGTTCCCTTGACAGCCCAGGCAGCATTCAGTGAGGGAGAATGCTTGATTAAACAGTTTGGTTTGACTGTCAGCAATAACATTCAGAGGCAGAGAACTATTTCCCATGTTGTCCTAATTACATGCTTCTTGTTTAGTTTTTAGGAATTGTTGAAAATAACTCTTTGCACCTGGTTCTGTGGGGAGGACAGTTAGACCAGGCAGAAACAACCACCAAAGAAACCAGGAAAGCACTGCAAAGAGCCAGTGTACTCTAGATTGTGAAACAAAAAATGTAATTCAGTCTTCCTTTAGATGAAAAACTATTAAATTCAACAGAGGCTTTGATTTAGGAGCCCATAACATTAAAGGACTGGTTCAGGTCTGGACAGAAGCACCTGCCATACTTGCTGATGTCTATATTAATACGGATACATTTTTATTTACAGGGAGAACAAGGTGATGACGGGAAAGTAGAAGGCCCGCAGGGACCACCTGGAGACAGAGTAAGATGTTAAATCCCTTCTCTGATCAATCCTGGCCTGACTTTTGCAGGCTTACTAGCTGAATTGCTTCTGTATGTGTAGAGCATTCAGAAGCCATACAAATACTGTGGATGACAGGTCTTTTGCACTGACCTTAAGCCTTTGCTGTGTTGTTGTAGGGCCCCTTTGGTGACAGAGGCGATCGAGGGGAGCCTGGAGACCCCGGTTATCCTGTGAGTCTTGTTGCCAATATGTGATTCAGAAAGTGATTGTCTTGGGGAAGTACTTCCAATCTGCATCAGACCACAGAACATCCACCCCTTGTCCAGTCGTCACGATTCATAACCCACTCTTGTCCCTTGTCCACTGCTGCATATGGCTGTATTTCAAGCAGGAAGGAGAAATTCAGCTATCTTTACCTGAAGTGGTGAAAATTTTGCTGAAGGCAAATTGTCCTGAAGATCAGCATCTCAAAATGCCACGCACCTGCTCACTAGACTGAAAGAGTGAGCAGGACCATCTATCTCATTAGAGATGTTTGTGATTATCAAGGAAATACCCTGTGGAACATGAATACAAGATAGGTCATGTCAGTGTTAGACCAAATTCAAGAGAGTTATGCCCATGGCTGTAGACCCAAGGCGAAACACTTTCATGAGAGGATCTCTATTAACTTAGAGGCTTGGAAGCTTCCAAAATCCTCGTTATCAGGATTTCTTTCAAAAGCAAGACCAGAGTTATGAGTGAGTCACCTGTGCTGCTGATGTCCTCTTTGTGGAACATCTCCAGCTAATTCGTGTTGGTCTGAAAAGGCTCTTAGGACTAAGCCTTACCTCTATCCAGAAGCAACAGGTCAAACGCAACTTATTACAGTAATGTACAGAGCAGTCTTAATTCATTATCTTCAGATGTCTTCCTTCAGCAGTGTTGCTGTCTTTTCTGTAGGGCAGCAGCGTCCAAGTGTTCGCCCAAAATAGTGCTGTGTATTTAGGGATGCATTAGAAAGCCTTGCTTCCTGCTTAGATAGTGACTAGCAGTCTCCCTTAGCTGCCTCTTTGAAGAACACTGTGTTAGGTCTCAGGAGCAGAGGGAGAGAGAGTGTCCGGAGTCAGGGGTGAGCCTGAGAAAGGAGGAAGGCCACCCGCGTTGAGGAAGGAATTGCAAGGTAGGAGTTGAGATGGTAAATGTCCTGTAGCCCACATGGAGCATCACTTTCCTGGGAGGAATTTGCCTGTATTACACTACTCACAAGCTTCACTTTTCTCAAATTAGCAGAATGCAGCTATGTTTGTATTCCCCTCTCACACAGCATGTGAGCATCCGTTGTTGTTCCCCATTTCCAACAAAGTACCCAAGAACAAACTAATGTTTCCTCTCTGTTTCTATTTAAGGGTCAAGAAGGGCTTGATGGAGAAAGAGGAAAACCTGGACAGCAAGGTTTACCCGTAAGAGATACTGCTTTATTGTAAGCTACACAATGTCAAATGCATGTGAAAAACGGGTGCAAAAGGGAAGGAAGGTAGGAAGAGCTGCAGTAAGAAATACATCATTCTTTACAAGGCTGCTAGGAAGAATTACAGATTCTGTTTTGGGGTTAAAATTTTAGCGCTCTGTCATATGGCTTAGAAATGGGTAAAACTGCTGCATTCACCATTGGAGTTAATTTATTCTGAGAGTTGCTAGCCCCTCAGATGTCAGGTACAGAAACAGGAGCTTTGGATTTCCTTTAGAAAAGGACCATTGGAAACATGCAGCTCAGAACGAAGCTGAAGTGGGAGAGATCTGCAAGTGTTTCAATACCTGCCACCTTCTCTTTGGCATTAGTCCAGAAATTGCATGTTTTGCCTCCTTGCCAATAGCAGATTATCCTGACACGAATACACACACACAAAAAATGGATATCCAAAAGAAAGGCTGAAGAAGTGTGTGTGTTGAGGAAGAGACTGGTTAGAGGTTAGTGGAACATCCGCTGTGCCTCACTCCTCCGTAGGTAGCTCTCTAGTATCTGGTATCTAGGCCAAACCAAGAAAAGGGCTGCAGCATGCAAAAGGGAGGTACTACAAACACCAGAAATGTATTCACTATATAAATTCCTAGTTCTGCATATAGCTTGTACGGTACCTTTCTCAGTCGGCTCCTGCCTGTCTGCTTCTCAGCCTTGTTTTCTAGGAGCAATCTGGGATTTAGTGATGGCTTCTCTGAATACAAACTGTCCAAGTGAGGGAATGCATTACCACTTCTTCAAATGGCACCTTGCTAAGTGCTCTCTGGAGACATTTTCTTGCTCCTTTTTCCCCAGGAGACCTGTCTGAGCACGGCCAGTTCCCCTGAATTGTTTCCACGCATTCAGCGTTATCAGGGGCACAAAAAATGCTATTCATTACACTTCATGCAAGATATTGCCAGAAGGGAATTTCAAGCAGATTTTTCTTGCTCATCTTTTCTAGGGGGATCCTGGACCACCAGGCCAGCCAGGAGCAAAGGGATCCAAAGGTGATGTGGTAGGTTTCAGCAGGGTGGATTTATAGTGTCCCAAGTTTTTAAACTTGGAAAGTGTCTAATTAACAGGATTCTCATGTTTTTCTCCAGCATGTGTGATACGGCCCATGGTTTATGCTTTGGAGGACTGTGGAGAACCTAGTGGGAGGGCTGTAAACATGTATTTGAGCATCTAAGCCCAATAGTTTGTTGGTTTTATGGAGCTGGAGAAGATCAAGACAGTTACAGCTGCAGCGTGGGTGAATCTTGGGCAGAGCCTAAGTCACTTGCCTTGGGTTGTGTCTCTTTCCCATACCACTATGTTTCCAGTCTCCAGCAGGCTTTTACGTCCCTAAGGAGATCTGAGCCAGGCAAGCATCTCTCTCCTTCATTTGAATCACAAGCTTTTCTGGCTTGAAGCCTCTCAGATTTGGAGTCTACTTATCCTTGCAGTTCTTCTGCTTCTTGAAAGAGTCCCTCCCTCTTAACTTCTTGCCCTTACTGAGCAAGAAAACACACCACGCGTAGTTCCTTCAACGTTCAGCATGGTGCCTGATACCTTCTCCTACCTCCACATCTGGCTGAAATGACAACTTGCTAATTATTCTCATTGGTCCAGGACTTTATTTGCTAAAACATAAGCACATGACCTCAATACTCAACAAATTCCTGCTCCCTCTTGGCAGATGTAAGGGTTTTTAATCTGACCCTAATGGCGTAACGCCAGAAGATAGTCTAACCTACAGTAGGTGTTTTTGGCAAAGAGTGTCCCAGGCGATAAGGTAAATTAACCCTACCCACCAGTGGATGATCTAGAACTGCCTTTGGGTCTGCTGAGTAGTAGAGGAAGCACCCCACGAGTATTTCTTTCTGTAGTTGGCCTGGTCCTCTGCAGAAACAATGCACAGAAAATGCAGTGCTTTAAAAATTTATTAGTACGTGACCTCACTAAGAGAGCACTAGTGAAGATGATGAGGCTGAGTTTTCCATTCATTCGGCAGAAATTAATCCCTTTTACAGCTAATAAACCTCAGGAGTGTTTCTTCTACTTCTTTATTCGCAAAGCAGCATTGCAAGTTTCAGATACAGGACACTTACTGTTTTAGTTTCCATTAACTTTCCAGCAGAGAGGGAGTTACCTAGTGGGGAGAGGGCTCAGACCAGTCCTTGCTGAGTGCCCTGCAGAAGATTTGCTCATTGCTCAGTTCTGCGCTGTGCTGTCAAGGAACTGACAGAGGACACAGATTTTAAGCATCTTGTTCTGATGTTTGCCAGTGCACTGAGTCCCTCCTCAAGTTCCTCCTGCTTTATTTGTCCTCATCTGCTCTGTATTAGGAAAATGTAGGTCCTTGCCTTCTAGCTATTCATTCC